ATTTGATCAACGCGAAAATACCTCTTTTATGGGAACTAGCACAAACTCGCCTTTCCTTATTGGAAAGAAATTTCCTTAGATGATAATCAAGCTCACGGCATACTTTCTTGTACTGGAGAGCGGACAGTGTGTCATGACGTGACTCATCAAAGAGCCGTGCTTTCTGAGCTAGTAAATTTTTTATATGTCTCGGGTATTTGGTTTGTGGCCCATTTTTGAAATCGAAGGGTACATACTTAGCTAATCCTGCATAGACAATGCGGCAAAAACTTTTGTACATGTCATCACAGGAAGTGTAGCCATAAAAAACGTTCCACCAGTTAACTGAAGAAAAGTACTTTGATAGCGCAGAGTAATCTGCCTTGGCGAAGTTTGGTAACGGGAGTCTAGTTGGCGTGGATGAATAGATGGTAATATCAAATGATACTACACTGTGATCAGACGCTGCAAGAGGCGGTAACACCGAAACGTTCGTGATGATGGGAGCATTGGATAATATTATGTCTAGGAAAGATTCTCCCCTTGTGGGCATATGAACATGTTGAACAAAACCACAACATCGGAAGAGCTCCAAAAACTTAGAGGAAACCGAGTTTCTGGCTGTACTTGCTTTCCAGTCAACATCGACGTTGAAATCACCTAGAACGACCAGGTGCGTACTAGAAGTACAGTAATCCAGAAGAGAGTCAATAAGGCCACTATCATCATTTGACGAAGAGCCAGGTGGCCGGTAAACAAGTACAACCTTGAACAATACAGCGTGTGATTTGTCAAAAACTTCGAGGCACAGCAGTTCAGATTATGTTATACTTATTATATTATTATTATTATATTAGATTATTATTATCGACTGCACTTTGTATCTATATCTTTAGATCTATGTATTGTATGGGCGTTATTACGCGTACCGCAAATATAAGCGTGTGCTAAGGCTAAGGGGTGCAGAATCCGCAGAGTTGCTACATGTTTTACGATTCGCTCATTTGCTGAGCAGCCCAGTAATTGAAAGAGTTCCGTTTTCATTATGGAGCGGCCTGGCGAAGCCAGTCCAGCTCGGCGAGCTAAAGAGAAGGAGGAGAACTCGGCGTCAGCCGGGCGATCCGACTGGTCAGCATAAAATGTGTAAGAACCCTGAAAAGACCCCATCAAGGCGAATCACAACAGCCACGCCAGTGTTAAAAGGAGGTCGGTCATGGACCAAAGAGATGTAGGCCATAATCCGGGAGCTTTCAACGAATTTATCCACTCCTTGCTTCACTGGTCTGTGGGTGGACACCAACAAATTTATATTTGGTCGTCACTGCCCACGACTTGAGATAGGATCGTGCCTTTCAGTAAGAACATTTCCAACCAGATCAGTGCGATCGTTCAGTGGCGGTCGCCGTTCGCTTCATTAATTGCAGCAGGAGCTTCGCCAAGCTTCGCTGTCGTTAGCAGCGACATTTCGCGCATTCTGTGGGAAACGTTGCACATCTGTCATTATTAGTGCGCCACACATAACTAAATTATTCTCTTCTGAGTCTTAATTTTTTATTTGAGATCTGTCACTTTTTAGTCAGCAGTCTCATTGGCACGAAACTTTTCTGTACTTAGATCGTGCATTTCGACCCCTTTTTCTGTACATTTGCCTCTGTATCAAAGTGGAACAGTGAAGTGATTTGACATACTGAAACGTACGCATACCTCTCCATCCAGATCCTGCGGCTTTAAGGTCGTCAGAAATCGTCTCTTCTCTATCCGGTAAACATATGGGTGTAGCCCAGTGACGGGGAACGTTTTTAGCTAGTTCGAGGACTGCTATATCATCTTCTGAGGTACATGCATCGTAGTCCTCATGGTAGTGCACCTGGAAGTACTTATGGACTGCGAAAAGAGCCAATGGAATCTGTCAAAGACTAAAGAGTCTACTTGAGCAACCCTCAACCGCGGTATCCGGCATCTATGTGGATCACTACATCTGCTGCCGACGAAGACCTGATACGCACCGGTTTTGAGCCGGTGAGTGTTTCTGAAAAAAATGTAGGTAGCTGAGGAACGGATTTCAGAATTGATCCTGAAGCTCAATCATTAACCTGTAGCCCATCCTCGAGCACTTTTCCCTCGAATAAACCTTTTTCGATTTCTTATAAAGCAAGCAATGAGCTGCAGTCAAAATATGACGTGGCGAGATCAATACTCCACTGCATTTAGAATCTGTAATCATGAGTATCTACTGGCGCTATCAAACTCTTCAGGGAGGAGGGGGGGGGGATGGAAGAGGCAAGCGCTTGCACGGCTGTGCGCTGTATTGCATGTGAATGAGAGGTGGTCAAGGCAAGCGTAGGTTGCTGCGCCGGCACGCGGCTCATTATGTGGCAATGAGCTTCTTTTTCATCGAGCAATATTAGCCTTGTCGATTGGATCAGTGGACTCAATGAATATTACGACGCACACACTTGCGGCTATTTCCAGTTTCACCTCGCTTCTTTCAGGCACGGCGTCAGAATCAGTCTCACCCAGGGCACATCGTTGGTTGGGGAATCCCCAACAGGGGGTCGTATT